ATCAAGCACTGGTAAGGAGCGGGACCATGGGCAAGGGTCCCCAAACCCTCCAAGGGAAAAGGCTCTTTTGGGCTCCCAAAAAACGTTTTTCCTTTAACCGGGCCTGGGAGGGAAACAAAGCTGCTCCAGTTCCCCCCTTTCCTCACAGACCTGCTCCCCAACATCATCCTCAGCGGGGTGCTGCAGGGCCTCTACATCCCCCCACGCTGCCCCCCCAGCCAGGCAGTGCCCCGAGCCCCTGGCCTGCCGGGCTCCTGAGCACCCACCCAGCACGCAGGGCCACAGTGGTGAGTGGTCGGGCAGCGGAAAGGATCCTTGCGGTAAAAGTAACTCCTTCCCACTGGGATGGGGCAGGAAAACTGGGTGGGAGAAGCCAAAGGGTACGGTGGGAACCACAGCTGCTGTCCAGGACAGCGCTGCTCACCTACCACCATCCAAAGTGCCTTCATTGGGAGAGCCCGAGCTCTGCTTTCTGCCCTGATGTTTCAGGGTTGCAGTAGGAGCCTTTGGACCCTGAACCATGCTGGAAAATGCCTCAGGATCCAGGCTTCAGTGCAATAAATCACTTGGGTTTGACTGGCAAAAGATTGCTGTGCTCTGTAATTCCGCCCTCAGCTTGATGAAATGTGAAAGAAGGGGGTTGGAAGGCTGAGGGATGCGCCTGGTTGAGGGATGCGCCTGGTTGAGGGATGCTAAGAGATCTGTACCCCTCTGAGAGCAGAAGAGAGGCAACTCTTTAAAAAACACATTGGTCACATTTATTGGTGCATGTGCTTCTTATAAAAGTGATGGGAAGAGGAGCCAGCGCCCCGTCCTGCTTGCTGGCCGGCTGGAAGGCAGCAGGGTTAAAGGGGAGGCCGGGCAGCAAGGGCACGGGGCACAGCGGCTCTGCTGCTGCTGCTCACCCGCCCCAGGACAACGACAGGGAAACAAACAGAGGGGGAGCAGGGCAGCCCAAGGCCCACAGCCCTTCGCGGCCAGGTCCCTTGCAGAGCGCAGGGCCCTGCGCCATGTCGCAGAGCCGGGAGTGAGGATTACTCTTTGGCGATGGCAAATGGCTTCTCCACCTCGATGGTGCCGCAGTCGGCGATGGTGACGTCCTTCAGGGGCTTGTCCCGGCTGTCTGTCTTGGTGTTCTCCACCTTCCTCACCACATCCTGAGGGAAGCAGAGGTGTGAGAGCTGGGCACAGGCAGCGCCAGCTCAGCGCAATCCCTGTCACGAAGGCACCTCCCAGCCCATTCTCCACAGCGCTCTGCCTCGAGCCAGCTTGCCCAGGCAGCATCTGCCAGGTCCCACTCTCCTCCCAGGAATCGATCACCCCTTTACCAGCCCTCACCCCCTTACCATGCCCTCCAGCACTTTGCCAAACACCACGTGCTTGCCGTCCAGCCATGGCGTCTTCACTGTGGTGATGAAGAACTGCGAACCGTTGGTGTCCTTGCCAGCGTTGGCCATGCTCACCCAGCCAGGGCCATAGTGCTTCAGCTTGAAGTTCTCATCAGGAAAACGGTCCCCATAGATGCTTTTTCCTATTGGAGGGGGAAGGCCACGTTGCTCTCATGGAAATATGCCAAAGTAGGGGTGATGACAGCAGCTCTCTCCACAGGCTAGGTGGGCTGAATCAGCAGATCTAGAGGGGGGACTAACTACCAACACTGCAGGGAACCACGAGCTACCTGCTACCGGAGGAAGCTAAAAGCACCCCACAAGCTGGGCAGGAGGGATCATGACCTCAAGAGACTGGCAGTGCAAGAGCAGACCTGGTAAGAGCTTACAAGCCCTAATGCTAGTATCAACTTTACTAACAACTGCTAAATGCTGGTGGAAGGTCTGAACTCTGCTGCTACCTGACTAAATGTGTCCTGGCAG